AATGCAGCATATGAGAAGGCAATATATCATAAGATACGACACTAAAATATATTTATTTATTTATTTAGGCATTTTTATATAGCGCTTATCATAAAGCTCTAAGCGCTTTACAATTATTAAAACATGTAAACTAAGTAAATAAAAATGAGACACTAGGATATGAAAGTGAACTATAGCTTCTGACTTATCCCATGGCATATGAAGGGCACTTTATCATCTCAAGGGCATTATGGCATATAGCTTACTATATTTTTTTAAAAGGGCACTAAAGAATTTGAGCTTGGACCTCAAACATCAAAGGTATAAAAGAGGTGACACTATAACGTAAAGAAAGGGGACAATAAAGCATTAAAGAGGTGACACTATAATGTAAAGAAAGGGGACAATAAAGCATTAAAGAGGTGACACTATAGTGTAAAGAAAGGGGACAATAAAGCATTAAAGAGGTGACACTATAGTGTAAAGAAAGGGGACAATAAAGCATTAAAGGGGTGACACTATAACGTAAAGAAAGGGGGCAATAAAGCATTAAAGAGGTGACACTATAATGTAAAGAAAGGGGACAATAAAGCATTAAAGGGGTGACACTATAACGTAAAGAAAGGGGACAATAAAGCATTAAAGAGGTGACACTATAATGTAAAGAAAGGGGACAATAAAGCATTAAAGAGGTGACACTATAGTGTAAAGAAAGGGGACAATAAAGCATTAAAGAGGTGACACTATAGTGTAAAGAAAGGGGACAATAAAGCATTAAAGAGGTGACACTATAATGTAAAGAAAGGGGACAATAAAGCATTAAAGGGGTGACACTATAACGTAAGGAAAGGGGACAATAAAGCATTAAAGAGGTGACACTATAATGTAAAGAAAGGGGACAATAAAGCATTAAAGAGGTGACACTATAACGTAAAGAAAGGGGACAATAAAGCATTAAAAAGCTGACACTATAATGTAAAGAAATTAAGCAATAAAGCACCACAAGAGGAGGGAGAAGAAGAGGAAGACAAAGAAAAAGATGGTAGGATGATATCAAAGAGTGAACAGGACTAACACTGGGTGATGCAGTGAGTAGTGCAGAAGACAGAGATGAATGGAGGAGGATAGTTCACATGTCTTCTGTAGCGCCCTAACGGTCTAAGAACTAAGGAACATCATGATGATGATGATGATGTTGACTATAGCGTAAAGAAAGGGGACAATAACGCATTTAAGAGATGACACTTTAGCGTAAAGAAATTAAACAATAAAGCATTAAAGAGGTTCACAATAAATCATATATAGGTGTCACAATAATTACAAGAAACAAATTAGCTTCATATTTTTATAGCATTTTAGTTATAAATAGTTTATTTATGAACTGTCTGAATTACAGTATCATTATTGCAAAAGTTTCTAAATACATGTTTCTTCGTTCTGTCCAGATCCTCCCCCCACACCCCCCCCCCCACACCCCCCCCCCCAACTTAACCGCCATGGCATACTACACCTCACGCAAACTATCTAAAATGTTTGTTCAGAATGCGAAGCTCTAATACATGACTAAAAAACATGACTTACTATCAATTTAGTACACACTTTTAGAATAAATATTGAATATCGAAATATGTTTTTAACCCATATCGATAACTCCAACTCAAAAACATGTATTTAATCTCAGAAAAACAAATATTTTAAAATTACAAAAAAGTATTACTTAACGCAAAAATATGTTTTACTCACATATATGTAGGCTACGTCGTAAACGCCCAATCATATTTTACTCACACAACCCTACTATTAAAGATCAGTTCCAAATTCACACAATGCTACTACTAAAGATCAGTTACAAATCTATAAGCTCATGAAAATGTTGATTGCAGCGAGCCTAAAGTCAGTAATTGATATGTATATTTGAAAAACACATTATATCCAATTCATGTTTTTTCATATCATAACCACGCCCCCCCCCCCCTTATCACGCAAACAAATTAGTATCGATCTAAGCTAATCCGCGAAGCAAGGGTATAAGTCCCAAGGGCGAAAAGAAGACATGATAGCAGAGATGACTGACAACATATTATGGTCTTTTTTCGTTCATGTGCAGTCGTCTACAGTCTACACGGTGGTGACGATAAAGATTGATAATTTTATTTCGATCACGTTTGCGATACTGCAGTAATAGGCTACATAGTCTGCATAAATGTGTATACACATTTAAAGACGCCATCCCCCCACCCCAAATTTTAGCAATAATTTTCTGAATAAACAATCCATCCCGGCCCTGTAATATTTGGATGGCCTAATGAATTGTTATTCTACTAAACTTACATTGAAAACTAATTCTATTATTTAGTTTTTAAATTTAGTTTATTTGAAATCAGTATTCATAACTACACAAATAATCAGCACATTGTAAATATTACACATATTTTACATATTGCATAAGAGAGTATCATTAACAAATTCAGCCATTTAGTATTTCGATATGTTTCAGAACAAAGAATAACAAAGTCTTAAAATTGTGGATACAACATTTAATTTTAATTCTATAAGTCTCATGGCGCAAGCAGCAGGGCAGCATAAACGATCATATTTATTTATCAGCTAGGCTACATGCGAGGCTACCGTACCTTCATCTGAGAAACATATAAGGCCACGGTAGCATCAGAAACAACAGCGAAAGCAAAAATTGTATATATTTTACTTGAGACTTTGGTAGAGTCAAATAGTTAACTTTTTTTTTTTTTAAATATATTAAATTTAAATTAGCTTTTCACATATGATGCCGGACCAGGCCAATTGGTTTGAGGTGATAACCTCCCTTGTTTTGACTTGTTGACACTTTATATTTTACTATTTAATTATGCGCTCAATCAAATTGGTTTGGGTCTCGTTCACTTTAACACCAGTCTACAAAGTTTGCATTTTGAGTTTCAAAATGTGTTACTGTTCTTTTTTTTCTTCTTTTTTTAATTCTTCATCTACGCTTTTTTTAAAGCTGACATGACTTGACAAAAGAATATCATGAAAGCAAACAGGGTGAAGCAGGCGTCAGAAAAAAAATGTTCACTCAAATGATCTTTCAAAGTATCAGACTTTACCAGAAGACTGGAGACCGATTTAAACACACACAAAAACACTACTGTGGTCTTGCCTGCCATATCGCTATGAGAGTCTTGTTTATTAAAATAGTGACCGGGTGGGTTTGAATTTCATTTTTTAATTGTTAATGAAAAAGAATCTTCACGAATTACATCAAGTAAAACGATGTAATTTTGTTTATTTAAAATTTTAGGCAAAAAATAAGAAGTCCAAAAAAAAATAACAACATACTGACCATCTGTGACAGGGTATAGGAATAAGAATGGGGAGGTGGGTAGGGATGTGGGAGGGTTTCCAAACAATCTGTATGTGTTTTGAAACATATAGACACAATGTCATCGTAACTTGATAGACTTCAACATAATTCTGGAAAGAATCGAACTGAATAAAAAATCTACATTCATGAGTTTTATTGTATTTATCTTTAAAATATTTGTGTGTGTTCTTTATAACTGCAGTATCATGTTCCTTCATGTGTTTTATCATCGATCTTTGTCTTTTCTAAATTCATTTTAAAACTATCTAATCATCCATATAGAATACATATCCCTGGCGTTTACAAAAAATAATCAATGTCAGTAGGCAATAAATCTAAAAACCCAAATGCTGCCATATTGGTTCAATGACAGCCGTAAAGATACAGGACTTGTAGTGAACAAGGTTTCTATCAGCTATATCTCCGGGGTGGGGGGGGGAGGAGTAAAAATATGTCCAACAATAAATGAACTGGAACTGCCAGCACTGCCTCCTACCCCAACCGAGAAATCTGAAGTCCCCCCCTCAAAATCTGATCAGCCCCCCCCCCCACCCCCCCCAGGGGGGGGGGGGGGAGGAGTAAAAATATGTCCAACAATAAATGAACTGGAACTGCCAGCACTGCCTCCTACCCCAACCGAGAAATCTGAAGTCCCCCCCTCAAAATCTGATGAGCCCCCCCCCCCACCCCCCGGGGGAAAATTTCTGAAAGAAACACTGGTAGTGAATTCCGCGCTTTGTCCATGGTACGCATGTTGACTGCAAAATAAAAGTATATGTCAATCACTGTCAGAAGGATTTTCATTTAAATAGCATCACTGTCTGAAACATCCGAATCGGTATAAAAATCAAAATATTCCATTTCCATGTCATTAATGGGGCGATTTTTGGCGAGATAATACAGCATCTTGTCAGATTCGTTGTATCCATTTTCTGGGTTAAATCCTTCATTGCGGAAGAGTAGCCGTTCTTTAAACAACCACGGAAGTTGAGTTGCTTCGATTCTCTCCGCTCTGTCATGGCCGACACCAATGGAAGTGGACACAACGATAAAGCTGAGCAAAGCCAAAGACAGCGGCTGTAGCTCTCGTAAAAAAGATGCACACTCAGAATTACCATTCTGATCCATTAAATTTATGATTGACATATTCCTGGAGAGATTGCGGACATCAGATTGGGTTAGATACCAAATGTCAAGGAAATGGCGAGAGAGTCTAACATTATTCATAAACAGAGCAATACTCAATGGAGAAAGAATGCCTGTTGGCCAAGGACGACAACTTTCAAGAGAAATATCCTGAGGAGCTAGTCCCCCTTGGATCAATTTTTGCACAAATTTGTCACGACTTCTGGCGATAGCTCGGTGAATGATACCTGGATTCACATGACGAGCCGTTGTGCCGTGGTCAAGCAGAAATTCAGCTACCTCGACACATTCCTCTTCTCCAGGTAAATATCTTTCTGCAAGTAGAATGGACAAGGCAGTTTTCTTAACACCCCTGTCTGAGGTTACAGCATGAATATCGGCGCCGGCATCATATAAAATGTTTATTACATCCATGTCACATTTCTCTACAAACAACATTAACACTGTCATGCCAGATTTATTTCGATGATTGACACTGCTCCCTGCCTGGACTAATGTCCTGATAACATCATCGCTATAAAAAAAAACATTCACTTGCGATCATCAAAGGGATGTTTCCTTCGTCGTCTTGCACATTTACATCCGCGCCATGTTCCAGCAGAAGTTGTAACGTTGTCATTCTTCCGTAAGAAGCAGATTTCTGTAAGGCCGTGGAACCGTTAACATCTGTCACATTCACATCAGCTCCCAACTCAAGCAATAACTTGACATTTTCTGTTTGATCGCCACTCACAGCCCAATGGAGTGCGGCTCCTACGTTTGTATCCCTGGCATTGATGTCAGCACCGTTGTCTATCAACAATTTAAGGATGTCTTTCGCCCCACCCAGGACTGATCCCACAATCAGGGCCGTGCGACCATCTTCTGTCGTAGCATTAACATTTGCACCGTGTTTCAGAAGAACGAAAAGAATTTCTTCAATGTAAAGAAAACAGTTAACATTTAAATTTTCCTGTGGACTGATAAAGTCGAATGTCGCTTTAAGTTTTTTAATATAATCATCCGACAATACGTTCAAAAGTGCAGTGGTATCAGTTTTGATATTGACATCACAGCCTCTCTTCAAAAGAAGCTCTATCATCTCACGATGGTAGGCAACCATTAACGGGGTATTCTTGTTATGCACATAGTTAACATCCACGCCAGCGTCAAGAAGTAAGGCGACGATTCTAATTTGACCTTTCTCTACAGCCACGTGCAACAATTTTTTTCTGTCATTCGCCATAACATTATTTGCACAGTTTGGAAAAATTCGTAGCAAAAAATTCAAAGATTCGAACTTTCCTTCATCCACAGCGTGCCAGACTGCAGACTCTTGGATAATCTTTGATCCATTCGCCAACAGCACCTGGGCACATTCGATTTGTTCATGTCTTAGTGCAACATCTAATGCCGAACCATCGTAACTAACCTGATGGTCCTCTCTAAACTCAGACATTGCGACATTGTAAGATGCAAACAACGCTATCAGATCCGGACGTCCTCGCCTGACCGCTGACACCAGTACGTCACGGTACACGTGTACTCCATACCGACACAACAGATCCACAAGTCTTCCGTCTCCCACTTCCACTGCCAATAAAATTGGTGTCCCGACATTCGGCTCAAAAACATTGACTTGGAATCCAGTTTCCAACAGTTTCGTGACAATCTTGATGTCTTGGTCGTCAATACCGCTCTTTTCCTCTTTTATAGATTGTATAAATAGCAACACGATTTTATTATCGTTAATGTCCCAGTCATGTACAAATGAGTATTGGCAGTGTAATAAATAATTCAGAGAATCGATATCACGTGACAAAGCTGCCGCCATTAAAGGAGAGTTGCCATTTTCGAGTGTTAACAATTGGACAACTTTGCTGATCCGTAGTCGATCAGAGATTTGTTTAGCGCTCTCTCCTCTGCTGTTGACCAGCACGCTGAGGTCCGCCCCTGCCGCTAGAAGCAACTTGGCGACGTTCAGATTAAGCGACTCTATTGCTATCATTAGGGCCGTTGACCCGTCATTGTCCTGATGGTCTACATTGACACCGCGATGGTCGAGGAGGCATTTTACTATTTGTAGCGAACGCGGAGATTTAAAACACAGATGGAGAGCTGTTTCTTTCTTTCTATTCTCTATATTTACATTTCCCGCTCTTTTTATCAGTACCTTAAAAATTTCGTGAAATCCCAGTTCAGCACAAATTAACAAAGGTGCGCAGCCATCATCCTCCTGATAGTCAACATTTGACCCAATTTCTAGAAGAAACTGGACCAAAATTTGACTTCCGTTTTTGCAAGCTAACAAAAGACTTGAGTCCAAGGCGCTCCTGGAAAACAAACTGTTGTGTTGAAATCTTTTTATGAGATTAACAATTTGTTGAGAAGAATTTGATGTGGCTGGAGAGAGAAGAATCTGATCATTGATGGAAGTTGTCAGTTTAATGGCTTCTTCCGAGTGTTTCATTGTCAGGTAAAGTTTTCGTCCAATGCCTTTGTAACAAACGATTCTGTGAATATAAGAGTGAAAAACGGTGTTAAAATTAATATTTAGGGAATTTTTTTTTTGAATTTTCTGGACGATACCCTTATCTTAAAAGAAAATGAATTATTCACTTCAGCTTACTTTAAAAAAAACACAGCAATACATAATTATTGGTCTTATCGTCCCATCGCAAATTATGCAAAGTCAGCACGGCCTTTCAACAACCTCTGCCAGTCCGATGAAGACTCTGTAGATGGGGATAAAGAAAGTATGGACTTCTTCCAGGTCTTATCATGAGAGTAACTTTTTTCCGCACTATCATACAAAAATGATGCATTCAAATTTCATTTAAACAAAAATTTAAGTTAGACTAAAACTAATCCTTATCTGAGCCCTTCAGAATGTGATTTCTAAAAATAAAAATCATTAAGGATCCTCTTTATAATCCTTAATGGCCTTGACACTAAGAGTGTATTTATTACCATACCACTTATTTCTTGCGATAGAAAACGATGTGACCCTTCTCGCTCACGGTCGCCTTCGAGCTGACCCATTTTACGTTGTGCCTAAACCAAATCAAACAAGCCGTCGTATTGCCCTAATAACTGGAAGCTAACACTGGATTCCCTTTATTTATCGCATTGTCATATATGTGATCGACTCCCGAAAATGCCACTACTTTTATGTAGTTGAGACGAGAAGAAGGTTATTAGATAGGTTCAGTGAACATCTTCAGATATTAGACAAAATAAGCCACCCCCGTCGTCATCCATTTTAAGGGCGATGACACTACAAAATATGTGTGATGTATCCATCACAGCACTAATGCATCAGTGACCGTGAAGAATGTAAACAAATTAATTCTGAATTTTTGAGCCACATCACCATTTTTTAAAATCAAGTGCCCTCTTACTACTAGACCACTATTTTCATCTATTCTCTTTTTTTTTGTGTTGTTTAAATTCTTAAATTTTACATTAATAATACTTAAATTATTTTGCCTCATGTAAAATATTTGGTTGTTCACACAGCACAATTTTGTGGTATTGCTAGTACGCACAACAGAATTATGTGGTATGGTTAGTACGCACAACAGAATTATGTGCTATGGTTAGTACGCACAACAGAATTATGTGGTATGGTTAGTACGCACAACAGAATTATGTGGTATGGTTAGTACGCACAACAGAATTATGTGGTATGGTTAGTGCGCAGAATGATATGGCACGCCAGTTTTTGTTTTGAACAACGTAACTTCCGCCACTGACGTTAATCGCTTTAGTTTCCAACACTGAGATCTTCGCACACAATTTCTTAATTCGTTTCTCAATATTTTTTTGTCATTTCTTGTCCTATCTTGTTCTATCTTATCCTATCTTGTCATTTCTTGTCCTATCTTGTCCTATCTTGTCATTTCTTGTCATTTCTTGTCCTATCTTGTCCTATCTTGTCATTTCTTGTCCTATCTTGTCCTATCTTGTCCTATCTTGTCCCATCTTTTCATTTCTTGTCCTATCTTGTCCTATCTTGTCCTATCTTGTCCTATCTTGTCCTATCTTGTCCTATCTTGTCATTTCTTGTCCTCTCTTGTCCTATCTTGTCCTATCTTGTCATATCTTGTCCTATCTTGTCCTATCTTGTCATATCTTGTCCTATCTTGTCCTATCCTGTCCTATCTTGTCCTATCTTGTCCTATCTTGTCTGGTTAAGATGTCATTTGGACGCATCGTTCGTTTAAGTGTTAAGCCTTTACTTTGAAGCCTAAAAATTATTTTCATCCTAAATTTAATTTGTTGTTGAAATCGAATGGAATGAACATTTATGTTGACGTCATACTTTTTTAAACCACCTCCGTCCGACCTGCTTAATAAATCTAATAAGTGGTTCTCTTCTACCATTATTGGCCAGAAAGGAAATCGAGTAAATGTAATACCATTTATCAGTATTACTACTACTATTTGAGTAATAATACTTCTACGCATTGGGTATTTTTTCTAAACATTCTCGTAGTCAAGTATCAGTTCTGGCAATAATTGTGTGGTTTTTGTTAATTGAATTTAAATCACGCACAATATTCCCAAGAAAACGCTCATTCCGGGAAATCCATTTTTTTTAAAAACAGGACGCTTAATCGGAATGGCTTTAAAATACAGTTGATCGAAATATGCCGCGAGCACATATGAACATTTCACGATCTGACACAGCAAAATGGATATCTGATGTCTGTTTTTACCCCCTGCTATAGCATTTGTGTATTTAATGTTTAGCATGTTTAATTGTTAAGAATTTGTGTTAGAACTCAGGGTCCGGTATACAATATGGGTATTTAATTTTAGATACCCCACAATGTGTATTACTATAGTCAGTCATCAGTCTATAACAATCTTTATTTGACTACTTGTTATTTCACTTTTGTATATCACATCAGGACTGATCCAGACAACCGTGTGACGGCAAAAGTGGGACTGACTACTAAACAAGTGCACGCTATCATGAAATAGGCGACACTATAACATAAAATAGTTGGAACTACATCATAAAACATGCGACATTATAACATGAAATATGTTACACTACATCATAAAATATGTGACATTATAACATAAAATATGTGGCAGTATAACATAAAATAGGTTTCACTATTACATAAAATAAGTTGCACTATAACATAAAAAGGTTTATCTATAATATAAAATAAGTTGCGCTGTAACATAAAATAGGCGTCACTATAATATAACATATTTATTTTGGTACTATAACAAATAATGGTTTGAACTATAACATTAAATAGGTTGAACAATGACATACAATAGTTGGCACTATAACATTAAATAGGTTGAACAATGACATACAATAGTTGGCACTATAACATTAAATAGGTTGAACAATGACATACAATATTTGGCACTATAACATTAAATAGGTTGAACAATGACATAAACTAGTTGGCTATATGACACACAATGGCTGGCACTGTTCAAAAAGTCATATATCGTGATGTCATAATTGTATGCTGTGTCATTACTTGTTGTTTTTTTTTTGGGGTGGGGGGTTAGTAGTTGGGGCGGGGGGAGGGGGCGTTGATCTTAACTGCAATCAGCAACACAATGGCTGGCACTGTTCAAAAAGTCATATATCGTGATGTCATAATTGTATGCTGTGTCATTACTTGTTGTTTTTTTTTTGGGGGGGGGGGTTAGCAGTTGGGGCGGGGGGAGGGGGCGATGATCTTAACTGAAATCAGCCTCGAATGCAGACTGAGGGATCATCATCATTGTATCACTGAGCGTCAGTATTAAGCCATGCGCTACTACTTCTTTCATTCAGTATAAATAATATTTTTATGGCAGTCAGTTTTTATAGAGTAAAATTTTATGAACTTGGCGCGGATTTATTTATTTTTTTCGGTTGCTGGCATCCGTCCGTCACAATGTGACGATGATGTAGACGTCGCAGGACGAAATCCACACGTCCCCTCTCCACGCCGCTGGAAACATCATGTGGATGATACAGCTTGGCCCCCGGTGGTGTCGTCGTAGAAGTTGTCGGAATGTTCCATTGTGTCAATGTCATCCGCCTACGGGACTCCATCTCCGGGTTTGAATTCAGAGTTTCCTTCTCTTAGGCGAGTTACATTCCAAGGTTAACGCTGATGTTTTTGCTTGATGGGCATTGAACTCCAAACCATCAACATGAGATTTGCTCAGTTTAAACCACTCGACGACACATTACCCCACTAGGAGAGATAATATAGATATTTTTGAGATTAAGGTTTGCAGAAGTGTATCGAGAGAGTGATTTTGGACACGTCGCTTTCCTATGGGATGCCAATTGTGTAAAGGAGCATATTTTATTGATTTTCTTCTTCTACTTTTCTTTTTCTTTTTTTGTTGTTGTTGTTGTTTGTTTTTTTGTTTTTTGTTTTTTTGTTAACTGAAAGATTTGCAGTTTTAACAGTCTCTCATGAAGTTAATTAAAACCAGTTATTATCATGAAAAATTTTGGTGATGATTTGCGATTCAAATTCCTGTGAATTCAATTAGTGTATGGACGTGCTTCAGCTTTCACATGCTTCACTTATTTTCTACAGATCCACCTTTTTCTTTTTTATAGTGTGGCCAGTAAGTTATGTTTTCTGGGGATCTTTTACGGGGGACACAACTCTACACGAATTTGTTCAACTACAACCTTAACATAAAAGAGTA